CACAACTAGACTGAAGAACAAAACGACAGCAACTTGTCTGTTCCCCTTCCCCCAATTCCCCAGCGCTGTTCCCATCTCCCAATTCCCCAATAAAAAAATCTTAAAAAAAAAAAAAGAGTCAACTATGCCATTGTAGCATGAAAGCAATGTGTAACTAACAACCATGGCTGTTCCCCAATTAAAAAAAATTTTTTGAAAAAAAAGAACTCTAGGGAACTTTTATGGCAGGCTAGCCAGTCTCAAGAGCCTTGCTGAAGACCTGTTAATTTTCTTGCTAAAATCCCTCCTTTCCTTTTCCCCCTTTGAAACTTTGAAGTTTTAGGGCCGGCTGAGTGGCGTGTTGGCTAAGAGTTGGCAGCAGGGCCCTGGTTCGGATCCCACCTCTACAGCTTAGATGGTAAACAACAGCTCGACCTGGAGCTGGGCTGTTGTGAGTCACCGGTGACGGCATAGGCTGCAGTGGGGCTGGCCGTGAGCCGCGGCCGTCCAATGGCCGGTGAGCGACTGCCTCTCCCAGGAAGAGCACAATGATAATACCAACATGGGCCAGAGAAGTGATTGTCCTCCACAACTAGACTGAAGAACAAAAAGGACAGCAACTTGTCTGTCCCCTTCCCCAATGCTGTTCCTATCCTCCAATTCCCAAATAAAATCTTTAAAAAAACAAAACAAAACCTTTGAAGTTTTAAACTGATATAAATAGCTTAGTTCTTTTTTTTTTTTTTTTTTTTTTTAGCTGAACCGCTGTTGCTCAGAGCTCACACTCTTGAGCGAGCTCTTAACCAACTGAGCCACTTGGCTGGCCCGATAGCTTAGTTCTTAATATCTAAGTTTGTGATGTGGCATAGGATAAAAATTCTCAGTCATGTTGTTTAGTTAGTCCAATGATTGGCTATCTGCCCAGTCTTGAAAATATAATTTTCAGCAATATAACCGTCATACGTGGTTCACTCATTATTATGTAAATTTGGGTTTTACCATTGGTCTAATTATGTCCCTTGAAACATAAGGTAAGAAAGAGTATGTGACTAAATCAGGAGATGGGTTCTTGTCTCACCTTTGTCAATAATTTGCTGTGTGACCTTGGCAAATCACTTAACCTTAGTATTCTCTCCCTGGTTAACAATTATCAAGATAAAATCATAGAACGTTAGAATTGGCAGAGACTTCATAATTTATAATTTACAATTTCTTCATTTCATGGAGAGGTTGAGTGACTTACCCAAAAGCCTTCTAGAACAAGTTTCCAGTTTTTGGTATCTCAGACCAGGGCCTTTTCATTACATCAAGCTTTCTTTCAGTGTTCTTCTAAGAAGCAAACAAAAACTCCAAAAGTGAAAACACTAAATAAATATACGATCTTTTACATAAAGCCAGATAACCATTAGCCTGCACTTTAGCCTCTAAGCTTATCTGAAAATATACTGTCTAACTTAAAGATGATTTAAAATTCAGAAGTCCTGAAACTATGTAAGGAAAGGTCAGGAAAATAAAAGGTAGAAAAAAAAATAATGGTGGCTTGGCGAATACCTGTAAAGGGAAAATAAAACTTAACACAAGAGTACTTAAAATTCTTTCTGGTCTTTTCCTAGTTTGTACAAGGTGAATTGGGAAACTGGAGATTGCCTGTTTTTACATATTTCTGAAGAATGGTGTGCAACATGGGTTACTTGAAATGGAATTACTTACCTGGCCTATACTACATATTACATCAGTTTCTCTAATTTAGCGCCCTTCCCTCTCCTGCCACTACCCAAAACAACGCGCTGAAACCTGCGGAAACCACAAGCCAAAGTAAAAACTCCAAGTCCCGAAATGCTCGATGGCTTGTCTACACCGCCTCCTCGTATGGGCAGCCTCTTCGGTACTGGGAGTTGTAGTCACTCAGGGCCCTTACTTCCGGGGTGTCGAAAGGGAAACGTCTATGGAGAACTACATTTCCCAGGAAGCTGTGCGTGCCCTTCTTCCCCTTCGCCAGTGTCGGGCTCCACCCCCTCCCGCTTCTCCCTCCCTGGGCTGCACCGCTCACGCCTTCCTGTTAGTCCGAGCTGGGAGAAGTTCACTCGGATCAGCTGATCCCAATTGACAACAGGCGAGGAGGAAGCTCCGGAGGCAGCCGAAGAGGAGGGGGGCGGAGATGGAGATGAGGATGGATCCACCGGTGTCCTGAGGATCAACCCCCGCCCCCACCGGCACCCCGCGGTCCCCCGACGCCTCTTGCCGCGGCCGAGCTGCTCCGTGGTGGGGTCCCCGAGCCACCGCGGGCGGGGTGGAAAGGGCACGGCCCTGCGCTGGGCCAGCGCTAGTCCTGGAGCTCCGGCTGCCCCGGGGAGGAGGGGGGGCGGGTGCGGCTGGGGTGGGGGTGGGGTGGCATAAACAATGGATTCGGCTCTGGCCTCCGCCAGCGTGGGGGTGGATTTGGGGGGAACCTTCTTTGTTCTTAGACTCCCGACCCTCGGGTTGTGGTGGTGTTTCCCTGGAGGAAGGAAGGGTGAGGAATCCCTGGCTGGAGAGGCGTTGGGGTGGGGGCCGAGTGGACAGGTTGTTTGCTTGGCCTGGCCAGCGGTGAGTTTTTTTGAAAGCTGGTTTTATATTTTTCTCATTTGTGACAAAATTGTTTGCTTGGCCTGGCCAGCGGTGAGTTTTTTTGAAAGCTGGTTTTATATTTTTCTCATTTGTGACAAAATTGGATTTTTGTTTCCGTTGTGGGAGCTGCTTGGGCACGGCTGAGGTTAGGGTGTAAATAAGGTCTCCTAGTGGCTCCCTTTGCCTTCCTTGTTTATCTAAAAATAAGATTGATAGATTGATTACTGTGGGGGAGGAGTAGGGACTATCTGAAAGAAGGGCTTTGCGTTTCTTTGGGGCGTTAGAATGGGGGTCAGGGCTAAGAGGAGTTAGGAATATAATTGTGACGAAAACCCCTTTCCTGCTCCAGTTATCTTTTTTCCTTTTTTTAAAGTTATTTTTAAGTTTTTGAGTAACAAAGAGAAAAATTGTTTTAACTCAACTGCAAGTCTGGCTTTGCTGTGGGCCATAGTGGAGGAATTCTGTCTCCTGTTGCCCCCTTTTCATCACAGTTAGAGAAGGGACAAAAGGAAGTACAATAATTGTTTTTTATTGTTTTTAAGCATGAAATGGTGACTCTTGTTTCCAGGTTTAGAATCCTTAATAGGCATCTGTCTAAAGTTGAAACAACTCCAAGACTTTGATGGAGCTAAAGTTTATTATTATTATCATTTCTTCAGCTTTTTATAGGCTCTTTCTCCACCTCTCCCAATTGTGGGGTGCAAATGGGGGTAGCAGAGTGTTGTCCCTCCAAGTACTATTTGCTTAGTGATTTTTACTCTGAATTCAATAACTGAGTGAACAGAGAATTTTAGTCTGGGAAATAAAGCAGCAAAGTCTCTTAAATGCCTTGTGCCTAGAGCTAGTGGTTGTTTTCAAAGGGACCCTTGACCATGATTTTGAGAAGAAAATGCTAGGATCAGAGTGAGCCAGTGTAAGTTTTGCAAGCAGGAGCGAGCGATTTCTCAGTTTTGGTGTTGTATTTAATCACAATGTTTTCTTTTTATTATTTACTTTTTTTTCTTTGGGTGCACTTCTGTTTTTAGATGAGTGAAATCCTTTTCCTTCCTCTATTCTAGGTGTTCCCTGAAATACTGACCTGAGGTTGGATCATATTGAAACGTTTCTGACCACTCTCTTTCATTACCAAAACCTTGGGATTGAGGCCCAATTGATGAGCCCATCAGTGAACCCATCAGATCTCTCTCAGATAGCCATAAAAGACCCTTTCAAGTTAATTTTAACCACATATTTGCCTGCACTTTATGGAGGATGAAACCATCAAACCAAATCAACGTTGCTGCTGATACAGGAGTCTTGGAGGCTGAAAATTAAAAATTCTAACATTTATGAGTGTGTGAAGAATTCTAATAGGACACCGAAAGGTTTTTTTATTTTTGTTTTGTAAGGTGTTCAGAACCCTGTGGTATTTCTGTGCAGTCTTCAGACTCAAAGCCTTGGTCATCACTCCTGGTGAAAGCCCGGTGACTGTTACATGGTGGGTGATTTCCTTCCCAACCTGAGTATGAGTGCCCAGACTTCCCCAGCAGAGAAGGGGCTGATGTGCCAGGAAAGTTACGCGTGCAGCGGCACTGACGAAGCTGTCTTTGAGTGTGATGAGTGCTGCAGCTTGCAGTGTCTCCGCTGCGAGGAGGAGCTGCATCGGCAGGAGCGCCTGAGAAACCATGAGCGGATAAGACTCAAACCTGGCCACATCCCTTACTGTGACCCCTGCAAGGGCCCCAACGGGCATTCTCCAGGTGTTAGGCAGAGGGCAGCTGTGAGGTGCCAGACCTGTAAAATCAACTTGTGCCTGGAGTGCCAGAAGAGGACTCATTCTGGGGGTAACAAAAGGAGACACCCCGTTACCGTGTATCATGTCACTAAGGCCCAAGAATTACTAGAGGACGAAGAGATGGATGAGGAGACCAAGAGGAAGAAGATGACTGAGAAGGTTGTGAGTTTCCTCCTCGTAGATGAAAACGAAGAAATTCAGGTAAACCTGTGGGTATCGCGGGATTCGTGTGGTAGTGAAGCAGCTCTGTTGCTGGAAAGTAGCTCTCAAAAGGAAAGTCCAGGAGGGCCTCACATTTTAATCATTAAAAGGCAAGACCCCTGAAAACTTAAATTGCGAAGAGTCAGGTTTAGTTACTTACCAGCTGTGTGACCTTGGGCTGAACTACTTTACCTCTCTGAGCCTTAGTATTCTCATCTGTATGTAAATTGGGAACATTGCCTGCTTCTATGGGTTGTTGTGAGGATGAAATAGCATAGTGTTTGTATAGCCTGTTGTGTAATAAATGCTCAGTATATGGTAGCTGTTATTAGGATTATTATTAGGAAGAACTGATTTGGAACAGTTTTCTGAATGAGCACTTGGGCAAGTTGTGAATAAATGTGAATGATGAGGGATTGTATGTGTGCAGGAAAAGAAACACGGACAAGTGGATCCCATGGGCGTGCTAGGCAATAAGTCTAAACTGCCTCAATTTAGAGAGGCAGGTCTTTCAAAAGTGGCACTAGATAAGGATAGCATTCTGTACCGATGGCATCTTCTTATTGTCATAGATAGGTTTCTGATCAGTAAAAGCCATTGAGGGCACCTGGGATTACAGAAGGACTAGAGAGCATTTGATTTGATTCCGAGGCAGGGAGAGGGCAGTGTGTGACAGTGAGGGGCGACTGGGGAAGAGGTAGTATAGTGTTTATACTTTCCAGGGAAGGTAGTGTAATGCCTGTGCTTTCGAGTGAAGACTGCTTGAATTCACATCCTGGCTGCACCACTCGCTGGCTATATAACCACGGACAAGTTCAGCTCTGTGCCTCAGTTTCACTTCTACTTCCTAGTAGTACCTGAGAGGATTCAAAGAGAATAGGAATGGCAAGGATTTATAATGGGGCCCGGCACATCGTGTCCACTACCAGTCTGTTGTTTTTGTCAGAACCATGGAGTATTTGTGGTACATTGACTCAGACTCTTAGCGGTGATGACGCTTCAGGCCTCCAGATTGGAGGAGGGAGTACCTATGTAAATTAACCGTTTGAAAAACTTTCCAGTTACCCACTAAATATTTTTCACCTGTCTTTTTGCTCCTTGGATCGCCTTATGGAAATGAATTACATCAATCTTCCTATGTATAGTAGTCCCCACTTCTCCACCAGGGATATGTTCCAAGACACCTAGGGGATGTCTGAAACTATGGCTAGTACTGAACTAATAATAAAATAGAACAATTATAATAATATGCTGTAATAAGAGTTAATGTGGTCTCTCTCAAAATATTGTACTGTACATACAGTGGGGGATGGATATATTGGACAAAGGGAAGATTCACATTCCAAGCAGCATGGAGCGGGATGGTGTGAGATTTCATCATGGTACAGAACGGCGCACAGTTTAAAAATGATGAATTGTTTATTTCTGGAATTTTCCATTTAATATTTTTGGACCATGGCCAATGGTGGATTACTGAACCGTGGAAAACGAAACCGTGGATAAAGGGGCACTACTGTACTTCCATTGTCAGCTAAATACTTCGCCAACACAGACTTTTCTTTATTGGCTGAGAGGAACTAATAGTTACCAAAGAGTGACCCAGATCCCATTCTGCCTCCCTTGTTAGCAATAATGTCTTTGTTATGAATTATGCTCGAATTGGGTGACAGTGCAGATTAAATATTTTATAAATGGAGCACTTGGTTTTGGATGATTCTTGTTGGTTCTGCCACCAGCTCTCTTTAGTTAGTGTCAGCCTTTGGAAAGTCATGTTTCGAATTACTGTCACTTTCATGAAACGAGAGGAAGATTTGGGATGATCCAGTAATCATGGATCTTGTGTGGGCACAAAAAGTATTTGTTAAGGGGAGGAGGATGTGTATTTTTTTCTTTGTGGCATTAATACATATTCCTTAGAGAGTTAGAAAAACATAAGGAAATGGAATGAAGAAGACAAATCCAACTACCCAGCAATGATATTTGTCCATTTTTTCCCCTTATAGTCTGTAATGTGTACCGTATTTGCCGGCGTATAAGACGACTGGGCGTATAAGACGACCCCCTAACATTTCCACTCAAAATACAGAGTTTGTTATATACTCGCCATATAAGACTACCCCCTCTTCCGCACACCTTCCACACACCAAATAAAAGGTAAAACAATATCAGATTTGATTTCAACATTTTAATTTATATTCAAATGCTTATGACATGCAGGAAAACTGTCACAAGGCTGTATGTAATCAAACATATACATAAAACAGTGCAAGTTTATTACCGGTAAACATACCGGTAATTCACTAAAGAAAACACACTCTATAGACTGGTACCGTAGATTTTGCGAGTGTGGTAAAATCGCATAACAGCAAAATCGCATAACAGCCGAGCATACACCCAGCAGCGCTGCTGATGCCTGAACGGTATGTGGAATGAAGTGGGCGGGCATCAGGAGGCCACTATGGCACGGGGCAAGCACTATGGGCAGTCTATCTGAAGTGTACCTGGCGTATAAGACGACCCCCCACTTGGAGGCATATTTTTCAGGGCCAAAAAATCGTCTTATACGCCGGCAAATACGGTATATAATTGGGTTGTTTGTAAAGATTTCTCCCTTCATAAACATTAACCACTTTCAGGAAATAACGGTTTATTAATCACAAGCAGCATTAGTTGGGATTAATGATTGGACATAGAATTTTAGGTGGTGATTCGTTCTTATAGAGCCGTAAGCAGGAAAGTACTTTGAGAAAATACCTGGTTCAGTTTCCTAATGCCAGTGTCCAAAACAATTAGATGATTGTCTGATAACATATGTAGATTATAAATTCAGCTAGATTGTAAGCTCCTGAAGAGCAGGACCGTGTCTTATCCCTGTATCAGGTACAATGGTAGACATGTTGTCAGTGCATAAATATTTGTTGATTGATTGGAGATGTCACTTCAGATTTTTAAAAATAGGTGTCACACACATATCTAGTAAAAAAACCCCCAAAACTAAACTAAAATGATACATAAGTAAAAACAACTAAAGTGATATAAAAGGGCATACAATGACAAGAGTTACCTCTTACTCCATACATACCCTTAGTCTCCTTTCTTAGAACAATCATCATTAACAGTTAATGACATGCCTTTCTAGAATTTTTTTCATGTATACTTATGAAGGTGTGTATCCTTTTAATTTTTCAACAAAAATGGGACCTAATACACTTGTTATTCTGTCCTTAGCTTTTTTTCACTAAAAGATACATCTTATAGAACTTCCATTATCAGCATTTCCATTATTGAGGTCTGTCTACCTCGTTATTTATTAAAGACTGGTATTTTTTTAATGTTTTTTCTATAATTTTAGGCTGTTAATGAAGATTTATTACAAACAAGAATGTATTAAATAGCCTGTGAATCTATTTAGAAATGGAATCTTTTTTGTCAAATGATAACGTGCATTTTAAATTTAGATTGATATTACCAAATTTCTTTTTTCCTATCTTTATTAAAATATAGCTAACATACAATATTATATTAGTTCTAGGTGTACACCATAATTATTCAACATTTACATACCTAAAGAAGTGATCACCATGATAAGTCCTGCAACCATCTGACGCTATCACAATATTATTGACTATATTCCCTATGCTGTACATTACATCTCCATGACTTGTTTTATACCTGGAAATTTGGACCTCTTATTCCCCTTCACTCCCCTGCCTTTTAAAAAATTTTCAATTATAGTTGACATTCAATATTATTTTATAGTAGTTTCAGGTGTACTGCATAGTGGTTAGACATTTAATTTATGAAGTGATCTCCCTGACTAGTCCACCTGGCACTATACATAATCATTACCGTATCATTGACTATTCCCTATGCTTTACATCTCCATGACTATTTTGTAACTACCAATTTGTACTTAATCCCTTCACCTTTTTCACTCTACCCCCCTGATTCCCCTCCCATCTGGCATCCATCAGCTTTGTTCCTTGCATCTATGTGTTTGTTCCTGTTTTGTTTGTTCATTTATTTTGATCTTTAGATTCCACATATAAGTGAGATCATATGGTATTTGTTTTTCTCTTTCTCACTTATTTCACTTAGCATTAATACCTTTCAGGTCTATCCATGTTGTCACAGATATATTACCAAGTTTCTAAGCCTCATTTTCTTAGCCTCTGCAGTACTTCTATGAGTCTCCCTTGGGTTCTGGTCTTGGCTTATAATAGCTAAAATTTAAAGAGCTCTCACTGTGGTGCTAGGAACTATTCTTAGCATTTTATAAGTATGAGCTCGTTTAAGTAAGTTTGAGCTCATTTAATCCTGCTGATAACCTGTGTATTAGTTTCTTATTGCTGCAGTAACAAATTACCACAAATTTCATGGCTTAACCCTCCGTCAGGCACAGATTCATTGCACACAAAGATGCCGCTATGAAATATGTCTTTACTAAGTCAGAAACACGACTGGCGATAGGTTACGGTGGAGGGGGAAGATACGAAAGCGATGAGCCACGATACTTAAGTTAACTGTTAGATATTTGAAAATTTGTGTGCAATAAATCTGTGAGATCAGTTATGCCCGATGGAGAGTTAAAGTAACTCAAATTTATTCTCTCATGGTTAGGAGATCAGAAGTCTTAAAAATGAGTGGATAGAGCTGTGTTCCTTCTGGAGGCTCTAGGGAAAAATTGGTTTCCTTGTCTTTTCCAGCTTCTAGAGGCCTCCTGCATTCTTTGGTTTGTGGTTTTTACCCAACTTCAAAGGCAGCAGTGTAACACGGTCCAGTCCCCTTCGGTGTCTCTCTTCTTTGGTCACATTGTCTTCTGTGTCCTTGGTCCTCCTGCCTCCCTCCTAAGGAGGATCCTTGTGATTACACTGGATCCACCTGGATAATCTAGCATAATCTCCTCACCTCAATGTCCTTAATCCAGTCACACCTGCAAAATCTCATTGTCACATAAAGTGACATAGTCACAGGTTCTGGGGATAAGATGTGGACATTTT